TTAACTGAATGTGAGTACAACTGGCCCAATACGTTTAAGCTTCAAGTCGGCCATATTATTTGACCGGATATATGTCCCGTATCTGAGAACCCAATTTAATGTTATATAGAATTCAATATCCATTATAATAAAGCCTTTCAAGCGTATATACTTAGATTTCTTTGCTCATATTTATGACAGATAATTTAGTTTTGAATTTAGGCTTCGATGATGCGTTGAATTACTACTATTTAATGTGCATTGATACATAAATACGTACATAATGTACATATATGCATACATAATGCTATTGTTTCACCAGTTCTTATCAATTATTCTAATTACATTAAAATTATTACTTGTACATAAGAATTAACCATTTTACTTTTCATATTTTTCACAGTTATTCAATATGACAGTTTACTCCACAGATTAGTTATTTCACAGATCAAAAATACCTCAAAGTTATTACACGGCAAATCCAAACTAAATGAAGTGTAACGCATTTTGTTTACATACATACATACTTACATACATAAACACACGCATGTCTCCCATGGGGGTAGGCACAGACTATGGAACGTCAATTGCTACGCAGTCATCAGTCTTTTTATGGATGACTGTCGGTTATGGGTACTTTAATTTGTCCCTTTTTAAACATGTTAACTGTTCCTTTTTGTCTTTCTATATATCGCCAATTTGGTCTGGTGTATTAATGAAGACTGATTAAGCGGTTGCAAATATAACAGCGTCGTTGGCCGAATAGTCGCAAGTGCAACTGCCGGGCAAGGGGTCTCGGGTTCGGTTCCCGGGTCGGGCAATATAGTAGGTATATAATATGGGTTTGAAAAATATTTATTTGTAGCACATAGTCTGGAATTGTACCCGGTATATGGCAATAGGCTACACCCCCTATTACATGGGACTCATAACATAAATAGTGATAAGTAGTTGTTACATTGTACTCTTGTAGCTCTGCTTACCCTTCGGGGATAACAAGCGTGATGTTATGTTATGAAACACACGTGAAATTATTTTAGGTTATACTGTCAAGCATTTAAAGTACTTTTACAAAAAAAAAAACAAATTAAAACAACGATTGAAAAAACATACCTCCTTAATACTTTCAAACGATAATACGGATTAGAAATATTAAGGAAGTAAACAAGTTAAGTAAAAATATTTGTTGCCAAACATTTTCTTTTTTGTTACACCAAAGAGTTTGCAAAATGAAAAGTTTTCCAACTCATAGACTTGTTTCACAAAATGGCCCCACATTTGCACTCCTTGTGGATTGAAAAAGAAACGTAACGAGTTTCTCTTGACTTCATTTGGCCTTCGTAACCATGTGGTAACTGTATTGTTTTTAAGTTAAAAACTGAACAATTTCTTATTTTTGTAATAAGGTAAAATTTATATTATTTAGAAAGGAATTTAACAGTAAGAGTAGGTTTAAAATGGTTATTTTTGAAGATCTATGATTCACTAATCATGTAACGAGTTTTATTGTAATGTAGGTCTGTTATAGACTACCTAATAATAACCAAAAAATCAAAAAATGCTTAAACATATTTTACCTATTGTTAAAGTAAACGTCTTACACACTAGAATGCCCGGCACCGACTATCCGAAAAACCGAAGTGTGTGAAAAGAACCTTACGTTCCGTTGTTAAACTTATTCGTCATAACATAACATCACGCCTTTTATCCCCGAAGTGACAGACAGAGGTGCACATTAAGGCACTTAATGCCACTGTACAATGTAACACCCACTATAGAGGTACTCTATTTATGTTATGAGTTCAATGTAAAAGAGGGTGAGCCTTTTGCCATATAACGGTCACAATTCTGGACTCGGAGATTTTTTTAAAACCCTTAATACTTTGTTCAACCCTGGAATTGAATCCGAGACCGCTTGCCCTGCAGTCGCATTTGCGAATACTCTTTGTCATAGTTTTGTATTTAATCCTTGGCTCCAGATCAAACTATCTAAATAATATCCTAGCTCTAACAGTATTATTAAACCCAATATGACTGCGAACATATAGCGGTCCGCGTCATTGACTGATTAGTAATAACATAAACACATGAAAGCAACAACTCCAATAACCACAAATTGAGCGGAGAATATTAAAGGCGCGTTCACACAAGCGCACTCGAAGTTTGCATTCGAATGTGAATTTGAAATAGTCACTATAAATGTTAAATGAACGATCCTAGACATAGCCGGGGCACCGTGATAGCTAGTCAAGCTATGAATATTGTACAATAACTGTCTACCTAAAAGTGTCACGCTGTGTAACCTGCACTTAGTTACGCAGGCGTATAAAACGGCATTATTAAATATTTGTGTGAGAGCTAGCTCTCAGCTAAAGTACTAAGTGTATATTTTGGTAGATAACCATGTTGTGTTTTAATCTTTGATTACTGTACTTAAACGTTTAAACCTAGTGATAGTACTTAGTGATAGTAGAATATATTTGTCAAAGCCCGAGTGAATAGGTTACTTATGGGACGACGTGCATCGCTTACCACCAGGCGAGGTAGTGGTCAAACGTCAGCCCATCTAATATATATAAAAAATAACACCTTTTTGTCTTGTAGGTGTTATGTGAGAGTCGACTAAGTACACATTTGAAGAAGGCCGGTTAGCAGCGCTTTGTAAAAATGTGAGACTATGTCAAAATACTCAAACGCTACTCAATAAGACAAGCCTAATTATAGTTCTGTCACTTCAAATTGTTTGTAAAATGACAGCGATAGCACTTGATTTATGTAAGTACAACTTAAATAGCCTTCCAGTATTCAGGCGTCAGGGTTAACATTATTGGATATCATAGTCCAACGGTATGAGAGAGGGGTCTCATAGTCCAACGGTAGACTGTCACTGTCACTGGCAATTGATTTCCTTTCAATTCTTTTTCTTTTTTACAAACGTTGCCCCGGCGCGTCGCGTTCCGCGCGCATCTCAAAGAGCCATCAGACCACCACGGTGTCCAATAGGGCTGATGACGATATGGAGCCGCGGAGAACTTAACGAGTGGTTTTTAGTCAGTAAGAGTCTGACACTCCCTCACGCCTCACCCTAGCGGGAGAAGTAATTGGATGATTTTCCTACTCATAAAAAAAACCCTAGTATTTTCTCCTGTGTCGTAAATGCGTTTACGAACATATATAAGTTCACATACACATGACACTCAGATCCGAAACAAGAATTTATTTACCACTCATAATATTATGTAACTGTTCTTTAACATAACATAACATCACGCCTTTTTATCCCCGAAGGGGTAGGCAGAGGTGCACATTGCCACCGTGCATTGTTACACCCACTTTTCACTATTTATGTTATGAGTCCCATGTAATAGGGAGTGAGCCTATTACCATATACCGAGCACATTTCCAGACTCCGTGCTACTACTGAATTTTTTTTTTAAACCCATACTTTGCTGACCCGGGAATTGAACCCGAGACCCCTTGCCCGGCAGTCGTACTTGTGACCACTCGAACAACGAGGCAGTTTTTTGTCCCTTAAAAATAAATAAATATGCCATAGCAGTACAGTCGATACACCAACTTATTGATAAATAACACAGTAAAGACTTCACGATTGTGACTTCTAAACCGAATTTTAGTGCATATCGTATGCAAATAGAGACATTTTGGCCTATAAACCGGTTGTCCTAATAAACAGGATTACGATTATCGATAGTGGTATGTTTATGTGAACACTGGCGGAATGTCTATTTGAACGTTTTCAACAACGTTGGGCGTTGTCACTCAATCGTGTATTAGTTTGTATTTGAACCTAAATGTATGCTGGTATTTTACTGCTGCTACTGAATATTATTGCAACGGTTTATCTCCGCCTTTTATATACTACAATAACAACCACTTTTCATTATTTATGTTATGAGTCCCATGTAAGAGATGGTGACAGCCATATAACAGGCACAATTCCAGACTCTGTACTACTATTTGACTTTACCTTAGTTTTTCTAGAATATTTAAAAAACCCAGTAATACTTTGCCCGATCAGGGAATCGAACCCGAGACCCCTTGCCCGGCAGTCGCACTTGCGACCAGTCGGCCAACGAGACAGTCTTGAGTCTTCAGTATTCAGCGGTCAATATTTCATCATAATAATATATCACTGTATTTGTCTTCAGACATATTTTACTTTTATTTTTGATAATATATGAGTATGTTTTTATAATAACGTGATCGTGAGACATATTACTAAATTAACTAAAAATCGCGGGTTACTCAGTGCATTCACGTAGTATCCCGCGATTTATGAGTACATAAACGTAGGATAGTATGAGAAATATTTTCTTTTATAATTTAATTAAATTCTTTTAGATAATGAAACTAGTAGAAACGACTGCCTCATTGGCCGAGTGGTCGCAAGTGCGACTACCGGGCAAGGGGTCTCGGGTTCGATTCCCGGGTCGGGCAAAGTATTACTGGGTTTTTAAAAAATCTCAGTAGTAGCACGAAGTCTGGAAATGTGCCCGGTATATGGCAATAGGCTCACCCCCTATTACATGGGACTCATAACATATATAGTGGAAAGTGGGTGTTACATTGTACAGTGGCATAATGTGCACCTCTGCCTACCCCTTCGGGGATAAAAGGCGTGATGTTATGTTATGTTAGAAACGAGTAAATTGCTATGAAAAACTGGACCGTGATCGCCGATTGTTCACCTGCATAAGCCAAAGCTTGGCACAGTCACCATCTCTTTTTATTGGCGTTTTGTTTGTTTTTACAATACTAGCGTTTCGTTCCTGACTTTTAACGGTTAAATGTAGTTCGCTGGGATCTGGATGCTGTTTCCATAGAACTAAATGAAATGAAGCTAATATCATTTCTTGCCGAAAAATGTCCACAAGTTCATTTCTCGAATTACGGCTACTTGAAAAAATAATACACTACAACCCTTTTTATAAAAGTACCATCCAGGAAATACAAACAAAAATAAACAAAGAAACGAATACATTATTTATGTACAAACTTACCGATAACTTCCAAAAGGATCTTATGGTTTCTTGTCGGCGATATTTTGAAGTCGACCCTGCAGCGGTACATGGCTCGGTCAGTGGGTATGACGTCACGTATCCTCAGTGATGACGGTGTGGCTGCGTGCCACCGTGCCCGACCGCCCAACACATCGTCCGCCCAGTGAGCCGTCGGCCCCTTTATACGGCCATCGTAACTGAGGACAAACGTAAAAATGAGTCAGCCTACTCAAATATGTTATGAGCAATATAAACTTCCCCCGGGGGTGATTTCCACGTCCACAACATGTATGATAAGTGTACTGTAGATTAGAATATTGTTGAATAATGAATAAGGTTTTATGCTTAACCGATATGTTTTGAAAAGGCGCGTCATGCAAGGCTAAAGTTCATCAGACTTCATTTGTAGCACTTTTAATACAAAATTATACAGTTTGTAATGATTAGGTTGACGAATTTTATCGTGTAAAATAAATTATGCATCGAGATTACCTTAACTAATCACTCAAGTTCATGTTAAAATAACTAATTCGACCTTAGCGTGAACACGATCGATGCACCCGTTTAATAAATGATTAAGTACTAAAATGAATGAGAATAATAATCCTGTAAAACCTTCTAATCCTAACCTCAAACTTTGAACTCTCAAAAATTCAATGCTTTGCTATAACGTGCTGCGAAATGAAAACGTTTTTACTCATTAATATTTCATAACCACGAGCAGCTTAAGGCCAGTTCAGCCCTGCGCTATTCTTTATACAGTCGCCAACATAAATCAAAATGGAGAATCAAATTCTAAGAAGGACCATTTTTATAAATTGCATAATTATGCAGTTTACTTTGTGGAAAAGTTTCAGAACAAATTTTTATAGCTCACGATTTTAGCGAAATATGTTAGGAAGAGGTTGAAATAAAAATTGAAAGGAATTTGAAGGTGGTGTGTTAACTGGGATAGAAACTAAAGACTCCTTGGTTTAGAGTACAAGACTAGAATATCTTTAAAATGCTATCATTAAAATACAGTTTAGTATTCTTGCAAAGGGTTCTAAGTTCTAAAACTTTCTGTGTAGACGAAATTACTACGCGATTTTCTAATTTAAAACAGCATTAACTTCTGCTCACGATTTTGACCGTGTTACCGTGGGGTAAAAAACGGTAAAACTAAGTGTTATTCCAAACCATGATCTACTCTTGATCCAAATTTCATCCCAATCCCTTCAGCCATTTTGAAGTAATTGAGTAATAAACAAACACACAAATATGCATATTTTTTTAAAGAAAACGTCTCTCACTAAGATTTCTTCCTGTGTCGTGGATGCGTTTACAAACATCCTATGAATTCACATACACATTGTCATGTGTGTAAAATTGTTGTTTTGTGGATCACAATAAGTGTTGTTCCGTACGGGAATCGAACGTACAACACGATACGCGGCAGCCAGTTGCCCAGCCACCGCACCAACCGTGCATTTATAATTTATAATTTTAGTACGATACAATTTTGAATCATATTCAATATTATTTATTTAGCACGCTTGTCCTCTGTGTATTAGCGCATAACACAATCGATATTCACCTCTATTTTACTAACCCATTATCATGTTAATCTCGATAATCACAATTCGTTGCACCACAGTAATTGTAACCAATATGCAATAAATAATGAAAACAATCAAATCTCCACTCTATCAGTTAAATAAATTATTCGGATTAATTTGTCATTTAAAACTGACAAACCGATTACAGTGGTCATATGAATACAATTGTATTTTAATTGTAAAATTATAATCGGTTTAATGAAGTTGTCATAATGGATTCGACTTGGGGTGTAACTATTGGAATTGAGTGGTATTCAAATAATTTGTTAGTAACGAGACGGCTTCGTATTGAACAATTTAAAGATTAAAACATTTTAGGTGTAATTATTGATGGAGTTTTAGATAAATTAACTAGCGAGCTTGGAGTCTACGTTGATCCACAGCGTCTTCAGTCTGGATTGTGACACAGTAAGCATTATTTGCAACACTGATTTTGTGCCGAACCCGAATCGAACCCACTACCCGCGCCGCTGGTGAACGTACCATGCGCTTTAACATCGTCCAACGCGCTGCCGCCGGAGTTGGAAGCAAACGCTCGTGGTGTGCGGCAGAAGGCGCGTTGGGCTCGTAGCGCAAATAGCCACACCGATGCGAGCGCCAACGTAGCCAGTGAACTGCGCGACATCGCCGCGACCACGCACGCTGCTCATGAGGAAGAACCCCTCCGTGGTTCGAAACTAGTAGAGCTTTTCTCAGTATATTCACGTGAGTAACACGCGATTTTAGTTAATTTAGTATGTCTTACGTTATAGTATAGTTATTTTAAAAACACGACTTATAGACACTTGTATTAATAATTGTTTTAATCTTATAAAATGGCTAGCTTCAACCCGCGGCTTCACGCGCGTTCTTCTGGGATTAAAAGTACCCTATGTGTTATTCCAGATCATAATCTCCAAATTTCATCCCGTACCTTTCAGCCCTTTTGACGTGATTAAGTAATAAACATGCACACAAGCACAATAACCCACACACTCACAAACTTTCACATTAATATTATTAGCAAGATGTCTTTAAGTATAAAAACGAATGAAATGTATACATATTTGTATAAACAACATAAATAAGTATAAGTAGTATAAGTATATAGTAGTAGAAATACATGATAATCCGTCACAAAGACGTGAGATATGTAACCGAAAAGGAATTTTCTCAAGGATAGTTGGCGGCTCAGATCAATCTTCAAAAAGTAGGTATTTGTACCGCATTGTCGATTACACGTAGATATATTTTATTTGTACGCATGATTGTACATCAAACTATACAAAACCAGTTTATCATGATCTAGCTTTGTACAATACAATACACTTTAGCATTTTCTATCGCTTATACTACGGGGAGTGCTCTGAAGAATTGTTTGACCTGATACCTGCCGCATCTTTTCGTCATCGACCCTCACAACAGCATACGCATCCCCATCATATAGATGGTTGGCAGGCCACAACTGTGCGCTGCTCACGTAGCTTTCTGCCTCGCACAGCAAAACTGTGGAATGATCTGTCGTCGGCAGTATTTCCGAAGCGATACGACCTTCAAAACTTCACGAAAAGAGCGCATTCATACGCAACGCATCTGTGACTCCTCTAGTGTTGCGTTTCCATGGGCGGCGCTGATCACTTACGATCAGGTCATCCGTCTGCTCGTTTGCCTCCTGTTCCATAAAAAAATGCACTTTCAAACTTCAGTTTATACTGGATACTTCAGTTTATGCTTGATATGTAGTCGAATGTACTTCGTCATAACTGTTTCTTTACACGTGTCATGAATAGCTTCGTACCTACGTCGTTTATAAACACACACATTCAAGCGTCTATTACACAAATTGTATTGACTCTACTAGTGTTAAATTACTTACTTTTTGTTTTATCAAAGATAGAAATTGCAAAGGAAAATTTTGTTTTGCTTTCAGGCCTTTGTTTCAGTATTCAAACCAACTTGTATGTTAGCTTTAATAATCGCAAATGTGACTGCTTGGGTTGGCTGTATTGACGATTTAAAAACCATAAAATTCTATAATTTCCTGCTTAGCATAGGCGTAGTATGGTTATAAATAATAATAAAAATAAATTAAATAAAATTTATTCATATTTCAAAAATGCAAAATACATATATGTCCTAAGTAAAATTGATCTCATAAAGTTAGATGCCTGTACTAGGACAATCCTGTTAAGGTTAAGGGGACTATGACTATGATACACAAGGTGATCAGATCATCATCATATCAGCTATAAGAAATCCATTGTTGTACAATACATATACCTTTTTCAAGGACTTGTTGGAGGTAATATGTATTGAATGGATTCCTGCAATCCTAGATCGGCTGTGCACCTTGAGGGCGTACGTTCTGACTCCTTATATTCATAGCAGTAAATTTCCATTTTAAACGTTATCAAATCAAAAATATCGTACACTGCACCATATCATACTTAGTTTCATACCTGCATAGCCATAAAAAGTGAGCGATAACTCCGTAACAAATCATTTTCCATACCTAAAACACACAGGGGCACTTTGTTTCGGCTTCATACGTACACCAGTGGTTTTCTATTTGCTGTGCATGCATGATTGATAGTGTAAAGACTAGAATTTATGTCGATACCATCGCTTGTCTGCTCCATACACGGTAGTTGAAATTAAACGACTCTGTTCTACACGTTTGTGAAGTCAAAAGGAGGTCGCTAGACTTGCTCCAGGCTCCAGAATGGTAGAATAAGTTAAGAAGCGTTGAGAGTGCAGTGTTTTTGTATTGATATCAAATTTTTTGTAGTACTTCATTAAGCTATTAGCTACATACTGAGCTAAGAAATGCTAACATATTGGTTTAGATCTTCAAATTTCGCATTCCAAACTTAAAATATAAAATACATTATATATTTCCTGCCTCGTTAGCCGAGTGGTCGCAAGTGCGACTGCCGGGCCGGAAGGGGTCTCGGGTTCGATTCCCGGGTCGGGCAAAGTAATACTAGGATTTAAACTCTCAGCAGTAGCACGGAGTCTGGAAATGTGCCTAGTATGGCAATAGGCTCACCCCCTATTAAATGGGACTCGTAACATAAATAGTGAAAAGTGGGTGTTACTTCTGTGTTGCACTTCTTCGGGGATAAAAGGCGTGGTGTTATGTTATGATGTTATGTTATTATATGTATATTTCAATTGATTGACTGAGAACTGCGTATTACGTACCAGTCCACAATTAATTTTAAAGTACTAAAAGGCCAAGTCACCAAATTACTTACAAAATAATAATAAGGTCAACAATTTGTCGGGACACAACTGATTCTGTTTAATCTGATCATATTTCGTCCCTAGTTCCCGTGGAAACTAATTTGCGCGCCACATTCACACCAGCGCAGCCATGCATAACAAATACGTTGTTGAGCGATTTATAAAATATGTACGGAACGTCAGATTGCGATTTAGTCATGAATCTTAGGTGATACGGGGGAGTGACAGGTGATAGTACTCTGAGATTTCATTTCTCTCTAGTTAACTCACTCTCTTCTCAATGTGAGTGGAGAGTGAGTGAGAGTGAGTTTAGTAAGTGTATATAATAATTTGATGAAACGTAACTGTGTTCTCAGTAAGAGTTATTACATTTGGAGAAATGTTGATTTTCTGAGTGTAATAGAAAATAATGTCTCTAGAAATAAAAAAGAAGGTGATTATCCTCTTGAAGTGGACGAGTGATTGAAAATTTTGAATGGTCAATAATTAATTACATTCACATAACAGACAGACAGACAGAGGTGCACATTATTACTCATAACATTATTTATGTTATGAGTCTCATGTAATAGGGAGTGAGCCTATTGCCATTACATTCATGTTGTATTTTTTTCGATTTGGAAATAAGCTCACTCTTATAAGTGGCCAATGCTGATCAAAGGCTTCTTCTCACACGGAGAAGGTTTGACCATTAATCACCATGCTTGCTCAACGCGGGTTGGTAATTTCAAACTTATTATTATAAATTATAAGTTAATTTTTCTCAAGATGTTTTCTTTCACCGTTTGCCAGTGGTGTCTAAAAATTTTTAAATAGTACATATAACTCGAAAAACGTCACAGAAAATGCTGTTGGTAGGTTTTGAAACCGCAATCTCATGCATGAGAAGCGGACGGCTTAAACCTCCGGGCCACCACAACTTTTTTGAACATGTAAGTAACCTAACTTAACATCACACCTTTTATTCCCGAAGGGGTAGGCAGAGGTGCACATTATCCCACTGTACAATGTAACACCCACTTTTCACTATTTATGTTATGAGTCCCATGTAATAGGGGGTGAGCCTATTGCCATATACCAGGCACAATTCTAGGCTGCGTGCTATTACTGAGAATTTTTAAAAAGTAATACTTTGCCCGACCCGGGATTCGAACCTGAAACACCTTGCCGCACTGAGTCGCACTTGCGACCACTCGGCCAACGAGACAGTCAAGTCAGTAACATAAAATATGTATTTGAATGCCTGTAAATCTTCAGGGTTATTTGTTCTAAATATTTTTTTAAATATAACCTCAAATGTTACGTGACATTTTCGTAATACATCCTTTTAACAAATACTTAATCAATACAATTTTTATTACAAAATTACCTATCCTTAATATAATTTACTAAGTAAATGGCGAAGGTAAATATACTTAGAACTTATTACTTTCAATTATCTTTCTAACATTTTAATTTAAGGGGAAAAGAGAATGGTAATCATTTTATAAATGATTAAAATACAACTATTAGTTTTAATTAGAATCGTTCAAAAATTCAACAACGAACATTTTAAAACAGAATGTAATAAAGAAACTAAAAGGTCGAAATATTTTTTTGATTTGTATTAAAATAATGTTCATACATTATGTATGCATTGGATATTAAGTAGAATAACTTATATGTTAATACTCGATTTCACCTTTCTTAAATTAAAAGGAATGCCTAAACTAAGACAGGTGGCATATAACGACATTTTGGTTGTCAGCTACCTATTTGTGACATATAATAGTACAAGTAAGGCATAGATTTAGGTGCTTTTTTAGACTAAGTAACTCTTAGGGAGAGATGGTTTACGAAAAGTTGCAATGCAAGCAAACAGCCGTTAAATAGTTAACTTCGCCTTCATTAGTATATAAATAAAAATGACATCATACCTTCCAAGACGATAATAACTCAAACAGTAGAAAAAGACGGATTTATTTAACAACGCTTTATGGAAGTAATTCACGCACATCTCAGTCTGTGACGTGAGCCGTCGTCGGAGGGACTTGTGAAAAAATCTTTCCCTTGAGATGTCACGTGACAAGCTCACTTTAGTACTGTCGCTCACAGATAATGAACACATAGTAGAAGCGAGCCGGGTCGTTGTTCTGGCGCCGCACGCTACCTTATTACAGAAAAAAAAACAAACAACGTGACCCAACACAGAACAGTACAGCAATTTACATTCTTCCAACAAACTGAGGTTTTAATAAGAACCGACTGAAAACTTCAAGATCGTTTCAAATACAATTGTTCTATTTGGCTCGATAATACCAAAATGCGTTAATCCTTTTCGTAATACCAACTCTATTACTTACAAGTTAGAGTCTATTGTTTTATGTGTAACAAATGAGTTACGCCTTTATAAACTGGAATTATGGTAGCAGGTGGAATAATTTCTATTCTCATTTCTGTTAAGTATTACAAGGTTTGGATTAAAATAATAATACAAATAGTTTTCTCTGAATATAACGTTTCGCTATTCGACTGAAATACGTTACGTGGGGTGTAATTTTCATTTCTTTATATAATTTAATTATAGTAAGTCGTCCCAGTAATTAATTGCGACGTAGTTGCTTCAAATATCATTATGATTCTTGAATCGCTAAATGAAAGGAACGCTTTAATTATACTGTTTCTCTGTCATAATTAAATTTGAGTTTTTGCAAAAAAAAAAATCTCTGTGTTGTTTTGATGTTTCTGTTGTTGTTGTTACAATACTTTGATTATATTGTGTTGTTTATGTCATGCGCTTAAGGTTTTTTATGAAAATTATACTTATTAAACAACCTTAGTGTTATTGAATTTGCTATATGATGTGTATGTGTGTGTTTCAATTTAATCTTATACTGGTATGTTAAAGTGTAATTTTTTGGGATATTAAAATATGCTCCGTATTTTGCGTCAGCATAAATGACTGCCTCTTTGGCCGAGGGGTCACAAGTGCGACTGCCGGGCAAGGGGTCTCGGGTTCGATTCCCGGGTCGGGCAAAGTATTACTGGGTTTTTAAAAATCTCAGTAGAAGCACGGAGTCTGGAAATGTGCCCTGTATATGGCAATAGGCTCACCCCCTATTACATGGGACTCATTACATAAATAGTGAAAAGTTGGTGTTACATTGTACAGTGGCATAATGTGCACGTCTAAATACCCCTTCGGGGATAAAAGGCGCGATGTTATGTTATGTTACATGTTGTTTATAAGTTTAGTACCTATTCTTAGTTTTTATCCAAGGTGCTAGAAAAGCAGACTGGTTTTTTTGAAGCACAATATTGTTTTTGTAATTACAACATATCGTACTACGCAGGGTTATAGGTTTCTAATATGATTTATTATGCAAGCTCTCATAAGCAATATACAAAACAAGAAATCCAACATAATATTAAGATCCAAAAACTCGACAACGTAGGAGAATATCCAATGATAAACTCGAACGATTTTTCTGTAATCTCGCCGTATAAGTTATCTCAACTCTTATCCCACTAAATCACATGTATTCATTTTGTCGATATTCTTCGAATAATTCCCGATCCAATTTCGAAGTTATTTATTTCTTTTATACTTTGCTAGACTAGTGCAGTGGTCTGAACAATGAGTTTTATGGTGTTTTTCCTTCGTGACGTTGCTCTTTGTTTTTAGATGCCGTGTTACTGATATGGAATAATAATTATTCATCCATTTAAATCCCGGATTATAATCAGAATTGTTTTTTTTTCGTGTACAGAGCATTGCAATAGCCTTTTTTGAATTACATAGCAAGTCTCGCTTATTATTTTGTAGTAATAACATTAACGTTCGCCTTATTTACTATTATTTGTTTCTGTGTATATCTCATATATGTAACATTATAGGTCTAATAAATAAATAAAGAATGATCAATAACAATACCATGACCAATTCCACGATATTTACTTAAAACATGTCAAAACAAATGTAGCATTTACAAAAAAAATATACCAAAACAAACTCACCTATATAACGGCACATCATTCTTATACCAGACGACAAGCAACAACACATCTGAGGCCTGTGTCGAGCGAGTGTCACACGGTAGTGTCGCGTCGCCGCCCGCCACCGCTGACACTTTCACTATGTCTAGAGACTCCGCCATGACACTCGGCGTCGGCCGGAGACCTGTTGACAATTATAGTTGTGAACTTATCATGTCTACCAAACTGTACATGTGCATAGGGATTAAGCGGCCATTAATATGGATTTGTGGCTCGATTGTTGGGGAATTTGATGAAGGAGAATTTGGAAGGAGGTTTGAGGATCAATGTGTTGTATGTTACCAAGTTTGATAATGTTGGTTGTATTATGCCAACTTGCCAAAAGTAAATAAATTATAATAAAGAAAAATACATTGTTAAGTTTAGAGAAGGCAAATCATTCCTTGTTTTATTTGTGTTAGCTAAAATTAATATTAAACCTCACCAATGTTTGGAATTAAACATTGAATGTATTAATTAGAAATTTTATTTCAAAAGACATCTCTGAAAATTTAAATTCGATGATAATAAAAATCGACTGTCTATCAGATATTTTTTTTTTCTGGCACTCTATATCGCAACATAATGAAGTATAGAAAGGACAGAAAAATAAAATACAGCAAGAGAACTAGGTTATGACACAAAAATAATACGTTACCGAGACAATGCAGTATTAAGATATTATAAACAGTACAGGCAAGGAACGGTGAACGAATAGTAAAACCTTCATGCTTTGCCGATCGAAACTTGGCACAAAACCCCACAGGTTTGCGTCGCGTTGCGTCGCCCTACTTAATAACTCTATTATTTTTCTGTCGAAAAAGAAATGAACCAAAACCGATGTGGAACTACGATAAAGTTTTGTTCTGTAATAGAAATTTTGTGTTGCTATTTTTAATACAATTTTGTGGTTTTCGTTAATAAATATGAGGTTAACAAATAGGGATACAAAATGTGCCAGATTCAGGTTTTATATTTCGGTTTATGGTGGCAATAGGTACTGGTTACTTTACAATATATTACACACTTTTATTTTATAACCGTTTCGTGTAGTGGTCGAGGTTTCGTCTCCATAATCACATCTAGACTTACATGTCTGCCACAGTCAGATTAAAGTTTAAAAGTAAAAAAGTCTACACGATGATAAAACTTAACCAAGGAGGATTACCTAAAAAAATATGGAAATATGGCGTCCTGACTTAACAAACGGGTATCCTGATCAGCCAGTAAGAATTTCCCTTAGAAATCGTTCGAAATTCGAATTGTTCGTTCTCAGTGAATACCGAGCGCGATCGTGACAAATGGCTCGATTAACAATCCTCGTCCCAAGAAAGAGATGGGGCGACTAACGATGCAATATATCAAAGGATTTTTCTTAACGCTGACGAGTCTCTCAAGTTATTTGCTTGTTTAATATTAATGTGGGATCATAACCAAAATGTCAGCCAAATTTCGTTGACGATGTGTGATCTGACTTTTACATTTTCATTTGGAATCGATTTGCGTTATTTTTTTACAACACTTTTTTATAAAAAAAATAATTATTGTTTAAATACGTAAATGGCTTTTGCACCTATTTAGGCATCTCGGTGAGTTGATAATATGACGTATACTAGAAAATACATTGATGAGCAACTTGCTTTTCATTACTACCGATAATCTATACTAATATTATAAAGAGGAAAGATTTGTACCTATTTTTGTATGTTTGTAATGAATAGGCTCAAAAAGTACAGGGCCGATTTAAAAAATTCTTTCACCAATATAATGCTACATTCTTCCAATTTGACATAGGCTACATTTCATTTTGAAAAAATTAGGGATCCTTGGTAAAATTTGAACAATGTAACCGAAGGTGTAGAAAAATGAGTCTTAAAATATCTTTCGTCGAATGTGCTGCCGAAACTATTAGCGATAGAACAAAATAATGTACACAAGAATATTGAAGAACATTATAATATCTACAAATAACTCCGCGGTAGTATATGTCCAACTATTGTAGTTATGTCACTACAACAATCCAAATTTCCAAAAATAATTAATTGTCTACCCCGTGCGAAGCCGGGACGGGATGCTAGTATATTATATTCATAACAATCTGATCGCAAATTTAGATTATAATATTATTACTAAAGTTTAGTTCATTTATAAATATAGCTCTCTTGATTGAGATTATAGCAATGTAATGAAACAATAGTCTACCTATTGTGTCAATAGACTTTCCGCCTACGCATTAGGCTTTGACAATGTAAATTGCTTTAAACGAGATCAGAGAACATTTAGATATCTCAATAAATAATACAAATGAAAACCCTTTCCTTCGCATTAATCTAGCAAAGAAATCTATAACATTTTAATAAAACTGAATCAGCTTTTTCACTTCATCTCCTACAAAACATTCCATTACACTGAACAACTCCGATTTGATGAACGAAATGTGATAATAAATAACTCCAATTACATTAGCGGCTTCGCTACCATCAAAACGCTGTAGTTCGCAACTGAAACGCCACCTCCAAAGGGAAATACGGGAACCATACGTAGATACATAAAAGCCGACAACCTATTAATAGTCTTAATGGAGTTTCAGTCTATAAATGTCTGTTCTCCTCGATAAACTGGTGATATATATCTGCCTTGTAAAACAGAGGTTCGTACGTACCTATTAAATAAGTAGCTATCTCAATTTAGTGTGGGAATTTCGTAGATTACTAACAGAACCACGTTTCGCTATCAAATGTACGTCGCGTGTTGTTCCCGTGTAACATTAGCCGCTTTGGACCCCAAATATAGTGTATCAATATACTTTTATGGACCAATTGGATACATGAACTTGGATTTCTACTTTGGCGTTTATTTCTAGCGTTGTTTTGCACATAAAACCTTATATTGTGGTCTAGAAAAGCTGTTTTTGCATGTAAAAGTTCTCAAAGTTACGTTATCTATCGATAGATACGTGTCATGTGATAGTAAATCTATGAAACATTATATGGTATGTGTTGGGACTAATGAGGACTAAATCATATCCGAATTAATGGGTATTGGATATACAAATGCTAGTATTATTATTAAGATACTGTTACATATTACCTATGCTCTAAAATAACATGCTAAAAGACGTTCTATTGAGCATGCTTAAAAATGTTCAAAAATCACCAGTCAATGTGAATAGGGTAGACGACAAATTTTTATTTTAATGTCAGTCTGGTAGATTATTTAAAAATTTCACACGTATTTTTTATTTTCTTACGGAAAAGCTTAGTTTCGAAGATATATTTATATGAAATGTCGCGTGACGCCACTTCTCAGTACATGTTATACAAAGAAATGACGTTTTAGCCCTACTCCTAAACTTTGATTCGTTTTATCTAAGTATTGTGTTATTATACGACAAAATAAAAAATACGTGTCTAATATTTTTTAATTACCTAACTTAAGGACTAATATATTTTTTTTAATTTTCATACCCTGTCATCATCCCTATTGACCGCCGAATTTTGAATATTTCTGATGCATTCACATGCATACCCGACATGATCAGGCTGATTATGAACAACATTTCGACACATAAGTATATGGTACTAAATAACAAGTGCTCAAACTCAAAAACATTTATTTCAATCAAACTATAATTTAGTACTTTTGAAATGTCAGCAAAATATAAAATTAAGTCTGTCAGTCTTTTCGTCAGCTCAATTAAATCATGCCTTGAAATTAGCGTGTGTAATTACAATGACACAACCGGACTGGAACCTGTTGAGGAGTACCTCTACATTCTCAAATAGGTTACAGTCTATTGTCACAATCCCCACACACCATTACAGATAGTCTTGCTATTGTCAATTTTACAACATCAACCAACAATACATGACCTGATTCATAGATAAAAACCAATATCTTGTCGTCAGCAGTTAAGTTGGCAGCCATATAATTCATGGGGTCGACCAATATAAAATATTATTTATATGTTTACATATAGTCAGTCAAGTTATTTATTATGTAGGTTATAAAATAAAGATGGCTTCTCGATATTACACTAAACTAGCTGATGCCATCTGGACTTTAAAAGAGACATACCTCTGAGTTTGTTTCTCTGATTTCTCAGAGTAGTCAGTTAGGAAATGTCGACCTTACCGTTCCCTTGAAAAATTGACGTGTAAAAGTGCTGCCTTGTAGCCTATTTGCAGAAATAAATTCACTTGTTTCACATCGACTTCGTCCGCGTACAATATGAATTTTAGAACTTAACAATTTTTTGTTTCATTATTAAATAGCCTATGTTACTCCTTGGTACAATAGCTATCTGCCAACAAAATCAGTGCAGCCATCCCAGAGATTAACCAGTATCAACAGACCGATAAACAAAAATTGTAAAAAAAATATTTTTATTTTATGTAATAAAAGCGGGTATTTTAATATTACAAGCAGACTCTCCAATTTTATTTATCTACATAGATTATATTATAAGTTTTAATCAAGCCCCATTTTCGTAACCATTGGTTGGTTGAGAAGCCAGTCAATAATTAGTCTTTGTACTGAATCAAGCTATATTTACTTATTTATATACCAAATAATTTGGTTTATTGTCCGTCCAAACTATCCATAAACACACTTCTATATCAAACTAGCTTCTGCCAGCGGTATAAAGTAGCCTATATGTAATTCCGGACCATAACATATCACTGTTCCAAATTCCATTCTGATCTCTTCAAACACACACACAACCACACGCGCACATATATCCTCACAAACTTTCATCATCATCAACAGCCTATAAATGCCCACTGCTGAGCAAATCCTCTTCTCACACGGAGATGGTTTGAGCATTGATCACCACGCTTGCTCAAACACACACACACACACACACAAACACACACGCACATATATCCTCATAAACTTTCATTATCATCATCATCAACAGCCTATAAATGCCCACTGCTGAGCAAAGCCTCTTCTCACACGTTTGAGCATTGATCACCACGCTTGCTCAATGCGGGTTGGCGATTACAAACTTATTATTTTTTTCTTTTTTCTTTTTTTCTTTCTTTTCTTTAAAAATAAACGTTGCCCCACACTAGGATTTTCTCCTGTGTCGTGGGTGCGTTTACAAACATACAAGTTCACATACACAATGACACCCAGACCCGAAACAACAATTTGT